ATCTCCAAGCTCGATTTGACGAAACCCAGCTCCAAGATTGCTTCAAAGATGTGTTCTTCGCACTTTCTCACTCTAGGGCTCTGTTTTTGCACTGAAAAATCTATCCTCTCCCTTGTGGCCCAAAATTGGGTAAAAAACAAAAAATCCCGATCACACGGGCAGGCCACACGGCCGTGTGGCATACCCAGATGCCCGTGTGAGATACAAAACGCCGCGTTTCCAATAATTGCACTTCAGGCTACCTACACGACCAGGGACACACGGCCATGTGGCTCACCCAGTTTGCCCGTGTGAAGCCTCGCATAATCCCACACGGCCACATTTCTCCTTCACACGTCCGTGTGGGTTTTATTTGTGCCCGTGTGGCTTCCTCAGCGACTCGCCACGCGTCCGACCTTCGTCCATTCGACCCCGAACTCGCTCCCAGACCTTCATTCACTTACTAGGACCTGAAATATCACAAACAAGCACAACCTAGCGTAAAATCGGCCTAAAACACGAGAGTCAACACCTCAAACGGCTCAAGAATAGGGGTAAAAACATGTGCAATTTACGGTTTATCAAATACGTTAGTAATAAAATACATGACGTCACAAAAGAAATCACTCATGACGGATGAATTTGACGAACTTTTTTTCTTACGACAACTTAATTTATTCTTGACTCATTATGTTTGTAGGTATACCATTTTTCTGACGAGACGTCATAAATACTAATTATACTAACGTCCATAATTCATCAAAAATAACTATTTGCGACCAGAATTTGAGGCCGAACTTTTTTTTGATACGTTGTACATACATTTCTGAGGATGTGTATGCGTCACTAATACATTATTACCGACGTTTAGTCAAAAATATAAATTTTAGTGATGCCGATAAATTGTCGTTAAAACTATGTTTTTTCCGACGTGTCGTCGGAAGAATTATTATTTCCGAGGACAACTATTCATTGTAAATAAAATCTTTTCCAACGTGTCTTTGGATAAATTTTTATTTACGATGACAACTATTCATCATTAAAAAAATCTTTTCTCACGTGTCGTTGTTATATTTATATTACTGAGGACATGTTTATCGTCGGAAAAAATCTTTTCCAACGTGTCATTGGAAAAAATATATTTACTGAGGACAGGTAATTATCACCAAAAATTATCTTTTCCAACACGTCGTCGGAGAAACTACATTTACTAATGACGCTTAATTATTGTCAATTGTTCAATTACATCTATTAATGACGACGACATTTGTTGCTAATTGCTTCATCAAATTTTATTTGTGACGCCATTACACTTCTAGTGATGACAACACAAACAAATCATCCAAACAAAGTTATACATATTCCAAAATTAACTTTCAAACTGTCTAACAAGTAGCCATCAGCTACGACCAAACATCCAAACTTCAAAAGGAAAAATCGAAAATGACACAAAATATCCCAAAGTCAAGCGATACTTAGAATCCTACGATAGCATTCAAAAGAAATTCATGCATCAGCAGCAGTCTCCTCGGCAGTCTCCTGATCGGACTCGTCGGACTCGTCGTCGGCCACATCGTTACCCTGAGTTATCAACAAGATGGTTATCAACAGGATGACGGACACGATCCTCTAATAAAGATCCTCTAATGAAGAGGAACCATTAACAATCCTCTATCAACAGCCTTGCACTCATCCTTTTGCTTGTAGTATTTTACCCCACTGCCGCTAAAAGATAAGAGCTAAGATGCCGTCATTCTTCAAATTTGTAAATCATTCCGGCAACAAGATCTGGTGAGATCTTCCTTCCTTTCCTTTTCCCTTAGATTGAAAAAAAAAATCATTTAAAACCAACGAAAATCTACAAATCAGACAAGATACTAAACATGCAAACAAAAGCCTTACCTTTGAAGCCGCTTTCATAATCATCATCGGCGTCCATGGCTAGTTCTTCCTCACCATTGCCGTGGCCTTTCTCTTTGACATCAGTTTCTCATTCAATATACATGAAATAAGTTCGTACCTATACTTAACTAAACTCATACGAACCTTAGAAGCTTGCTCTACGTTGGCTATCATGGTGACAACTATAGAGGAAGAGGATGCATAAGACAAGAAGCAGTACTAGTGATGCGGAGAGAAATAGAGCGAAGCGTTGGAGGCAAAGAAAAGAGAGAGGAATTTCGCCAGGGATATGAAAGGTCAAGAAGATAGAAGAAACGAAAGCATTCTGCCGTCAAGAGAAATGGAAGTGAATAGGGTTTTGTTTAGTTAAATTTAAATGGATTGATGGTTGGCAGATGAGAAATGGACGGCTAGGATTACATAGAGGATTCTAGAACTAGGGTTATGGATGGCTTTGCATTCAATGATGAGGCGGGCTTTGGAGATTTGGGTCGACGGTTGCTGGGTATTTATTGTTGAGAGCATAATCGCACTATGTTCTTGTATTTAGGTACCCCTTTTCTTTTCATTTTATGTTATCATATAATAGTTCTCGGTCCCAATATATTCTTTGATTACTAAATAAGTGAGGATAATTGATAAGGGTTCCTACAATAATTATTTGAAATAAATTCCAATGTTTTTAGAACGAATAGAATGTTGACCCGGGAAAGTTAGTGATTAATGGTTTAACGGTTAATCATTTTTAACTATTGGTTAATCGATGCGCTATAATATGAAAGAGATATATAATACATTAATTTATTAGTGAATTTATCATTAATCATAAAAAAATACAAATTCATATTATCTATCACTAGGGATGTACAACGGTTCGCTCCGGACCGGACCAGACCAAACTCATGAGAACCGCGATCAATTTGTGAAAGATATCGAAGGACCAAGGACCGGACCATCATTGCATTCGGTCCATTTGGTTCGGTTTGATATGGTCCAATTATCAATTTGATCCATATTATCTTCGGTAATTATATTTGAATGGATACTATATTTAATCGGCCAGAGAGAAATGTAGATAAATCTTCATCGTCGTCGCAAACATCTCATGACCTATCAGTTGTTCCGGGTGTCGGTCGTGCCATTGGTGTGAAGGACTTCAATATTGATTTGTGGAAGGCGGCAGCTTCTTATGTCCTACAAAACTGTGATGAGGTGCAAGATTTTATAAGGTACATATACATATATACCAATACTTATTTATTTATTGTATGCTAGAATATAATTTATTTTAATTATATTAATTACAGAACTCACAAGGAACAACTAACCAATCGAGGTGTTAGTATGGTTGAAGCAGTGCATAAGCAAGAATTTGTTAAGTGGTTCTTATTAGAGGTACATACATGTCATATATAATAAAGAATTTTCATATTTAAAAATTATCGCAAGCTAATTTTAAGTTTATCCTTGCAATTATTTGCAGATTACACGAATGCACAATGATAAAGTGCCAAGTTTGAATCCTTCTTTGTTATCCTTAGCTCGAGAGCCAGACAAACGAGTCCTGCTCTACTCAGGATATTGTATCAATGGATTTAAATTTCACACTCGTACTCGCGAGTTAACCAAAAGCAGTCAAAACAGTGGTGTGATGGTGAGAGGGGAGAACGATGGTGGAATTCATTACTATGGCGTTCTCACCGATATCATCGAGCTTCGTTATACAAAAGGGCTTCGTGTTGTATTATTTCAGTGTGAGTGGTATGACACCGCTCTCGAAGGCGTTGGTCACAAGAAAGATGGACATGGCACTATTACCATCAACACAACGCGAAGGCTTAGAACATATGACCCATTTGTTCTGGCTAGTCAAGCAATTCAAGTTTATTATGTGCAATCTTTAAGAGATCCAAATTGGGAAATTGTGGTTGAAACGCGACCAAGAAATTTATTCGCGATGCCATCTAATACGGAAGAAGAAGAAGAAGGAGAAGGAGAAGGAGCATTAGACGAAGCCTATCAAGAAGACAATATTTTAATTGATGATCCTAGGGTACTCCAAACTGAGGGAGATGATCTCTTAAACTGGACTAGAGCAGGATTCAAAGATTAAGTATGACTAATTTGGTCTTTGTAGATCGAAATATATATTATATAATTTCCATTATATTTTTCATAGAACAGTGCTTACCATGTGTTTTTTTATATATTGATTCAATAATCATTTCTAAAACATGTCATTCTTGTGTATGGCGTACAAAAGGCATTTGTGCGTCAAAAATGTGTTTTACGATATCAGAAAAGTGGTTTTCCTGAACAAATAGTATTGACGAAATTTTACTGTTGTCAATAAAGAATTATTTCCTGACCAATTAGTATTGACGAACTGTTATGATATCAGAAAATGTTTTTTACTGACCAAAATTATTGACATTATTTTATATTATCAGAAAAGGTGTTTTCCTGACCAAATATTATTGATGAAATTTTACTGTTGTCAAAAAAGAATTTTTTCTGACCAAATAGTACCGACGAAGTGTTTATGGCGTAACAATTGGGGTTTTTCTGACCAATTAGTATTGATGAAATTTTTGTGTTGTCAAAAAAAGCATTTTCTGACCAATTATTAATGATGAAAAATTCATTCCGTCAAAGTAAAAAATTTAATTTCGACGATCGGTATTTTGACATCAATAATTATATTTTCTAACGACATATTTTTGTTGGTTAGTAATAATGATTATTTCTAACGCATAATATGAAGTCGTCAAAAATAATCCGCATGAAAAATGGAAAGTCAGGCAAAAAACATTTTGTTGACGAAGAAGAAGAAGAGTGCATGGCGTGCTAAGTTGGAAAATGCAATCAAGGAGAGAAAAGAAAAGCGCAAAGGGAAGTTGTCCGATCGAGGAAGCCGCTCGTTGGTGAAGGACAAGGACAAGGCAAAGATGACCGACCAAGAAGGCCATCCGATGGACTTAAGTTGGGAGGCGACATGCCTCGCCCCGAGAACGTGGCGGATCCACTCTTGGTGGCATCATGTTCCAAAACATGATAGATCCGCAACGTCAAGCTAGTGACGTTAACTTAGAGCTTGTTGGGAGGCAACCCAACGTAGGTTTGTTTTCATGTATTTATTTTTGTTTTTGTGTGTCAAGTGAAGAGTTCTAGTGGTCGAGTGGTATCCCCGTGCCACATTTTGTGGTTGTGAGTTTTGAAGTTATGTCGTGATCGATAGGAGGCACGGTGGATTAGGCCGAGTCATTTTTTTCCTCCAGAAGTGCCATGTTTTAACTGATGTTCACGGACGGATTGCCAAGTTCACGGTCTTACAAGACCATCAACAGGCAAACGCGTCCGTGAACCAGGCACTTCTACGAGTGTAATACTTGTCGACAATGAACTAGGAAATGTGTCCGTGAACTGCGAGCCTCGCCAATAAAAGGGGGGTGAACGTTGACTCATCACTTCACGATCCAAAACTCTCCAGGAAATTCAAATCTCGCCGGAAAACTGCGAAATTACCACGTTTTTTGGCCATTTTCCCCATTCAGGCATGCAAAACCCAAAACCAAGCATGTACCCATTCTCCCCTCATCAAATGTGACATTCGCCGAGATTTTGGGGATATTTGGAGCACATTTTTTCCAACGAAGTCACCGCCGGCGAGCCTCCGGCGAGAGTCCAGCGAGCTTCCGATGAAGCTCTGGCGACTCTTCTCTGGTCTGCTTTTCGGTCGATTTTCACTGTCCTCGGCCTCACCTCACTTCCTCCTACATCCCACTTGAGTCTCCATGTTGGTTTTCAGCTCTTTCTTATTAACTTTGGGAGAATAGGATTAGGTAGTGAAGCGAGGAAAATTTGAGTGAATTGCATGTTGAACTTAGAATTAGGGCGAGGAATTAGGTTAATTAGGGTGATTGATTGACAGAATGATATTGCTTGAGCTTATTTGAGCCTTGGTGGGCACGTTTTAATTCGAAATGCCTGTATTTGCGAAATTTGCCCACCAAGTGCTAATTGTTGGATGATGAGAAATGTTTGATTGAGTGGTGGTTGGTAGTCACCGTGGCATGGTTCAGGTTTGAATTTTTGTGTGAGATAATCTGTGACCACCTAGAACCGTGCCATAGGGTGCTTAAGCTTAATTGTTTTGATTAGCATGGATCTGTACTGGAAATTTAAGTGTGTGTGTGTGGGGGGGGGGGGGGATTCTTTTTCCTCCCAATGAGCTGCGATTGACGTTTATTACCACGTATGGTGCATGTTTGTCGATCTTGTAGGAAATTCAGTATGAGTCACCCATACCTTGTGGCACTGCCAGGGAACCCCCAAGTGGACAGGGAGATGCGATTTTGGGCGAGCACTAACTTCGGAGAACACTGGAAACTCGACTGCAATCAATTCGATGGCCTTGACAGTGGAGACATCATGAGGGCGGCGGTGGCACACCCACAATGACGCCAACTCCTTGAATTGGAGGATGAAATTTTTTAGGAGTTGTGTGACGAGTTTTTCAGTACCTTCACCATCCTCACGATAGACAGCACGCTCGACGCTCGTAGGCGCAGGATGAAATTCCACTTGGGTGGGGAATGCCACAAAATGTCTTTTGACGAGTTTGGCCGATTACTGGGAGTTTACAATGAGAGAGAGGACGAGTGGGAAGACGACGCCATCAGAGTTTGCGACCTGAATGCAGAATATCACAGGTTTTGCCTATCGGAGCATCGACTAATATCGTCTTGATTGACACTCACATTGGCATCCACACTCAAGCCACACTGGCGCATCATCAACGCACTCCTATCTCGTTCCCTCTAACCGAGCTATAAAAATCCAAACAAGATAACCAAGAGGATTTTGCTGGCGTTTGCTTCCATGGCGGATCCGTGTAGCAACTTTCATCTTGGTTCAGTCATGGCCACCTCTTTCGCAGAGCCATAAGGAGAAAATGAAGATATATCATATCAATGGGGCCCTACATTACACGTCTCGCCCGTCACTTGAATGTTAGTTTGGCGGGCTGCACATATGAGGGGCACTCCATAGGGTTCGAAGAGAGCACTTTGCATTCCATGCGGTTGCTAGGACCGTTTGGTCCATTCCGGTTCATTGAGGGACTACCTCTACCACCAAAGGTACCACCTCTAGAGCAGCCACCTGTTTGAGCTCTCGGCCGTTGCCGGCGTCCTGCGCTCCAGCGCCCAGTACCACCACCAGCACCACCAACCGGTGATCCCCTCGTCCAGAGGATGGATTGCCTCGAGACCCATTTCGAGGGAGTGACTTCCTGACTTGACCGGCAGACCAACCTCCTTGAGTAGATGGCTCGACGCCAGGGTCTCATTCTAGATGATGAGCCGGGGCCTTTGACCCAGTGAGAGGTAGCCGACGAGGGAGATATGTGGCAGAGCAGATTCTTTTCGCCCCACTACTCCACTTGGAACTCTGAACTCTTTTGTTTTATTTTTCTTTCTTTTATTTCTTATGTGATCATAAATTACTACTACTATCGTATTGTGATGTGTAATAACCTCACCTCGAGCGAGTCGTATTGTGTCTGTGTATGTGTGTTTTTTTGTCTTCTCCTTGATGCGTAAATATCCTACCCCGGGAAAATTCCAACTTTCACTCGCCAAGCAAAGCGTTAACACTCGTTCTACCCCTATCTTACGCCATTGAGGCAATGTCGAACTTAAGTGTGTGTGTGGGGGGGGGGGGGCGGGGGGTAGTTTATTATTATGCTTCTGTGAGTGTGATTGATGCTTGGAGTCTGGATGTATGCCCAAATTTGAAAATTTTGAGGGCTCTAAGCAATGTTTGCATCATCAAAGTGGCCGGTTTGTAGGAGAATCTCATGTTTATTGGCATTGACCTTGAATTGTTGCATGTGATCGAGTGTGTCCTATGATGATGACTGAGAGGTGCATTAGGATAGTGCAAAATTTTAGCTCTCATGTGTGCAAAAATGAATGGATGTCTTGACTCGATTACTTGTTGATTACAATTTCCATGCATTGTGTTTTATGAAAGTGGAATGAATGATTGGGTGACTAGGTAGCCCTGTGAGTTTTGAGCCGATCGTTTTATTCTTGTGTTCTTAGATCCTTCTTACCATGGCGAGAAACATCACAGTTGTCACTAGTGAGTATGATGGAGGCATAGGATTAGTCCACTCCCAAATGTTGATTGTCCCGAAATGTCTTATCCCCTAGTCAACCCCTTGATCCTTGTGATTTTGGGGGTCCTTCTCAGGTTGTGAGCTTTATGGTTCTTGATAGAACGACCACCCATCCTTTATTCATGTCTATACGTGTGTCATCCTTGTGTCCCGGAGCTCTCGCTTTTGAGTTCCATTAAGGTCCTGCATAGGAGGATTGTGTGCGGTTCTTGCTAGGAATGAAAGAGAAAAGAGTAGTGTTGGAGTGAGTTCTTAAAGGAGAGCATTGGTTATCAAAAGTAGTGTGGCAAGTGTTTAACTCTCTAGTACCCCCCCCCTTCAACAAAACAAAACAAAAAAGAGGTAATAAAATGGGGTCGATAAAGTAGAGAGTGCCACAAAAGATTAAAAGAGTATGCTCTGAGTGGGGTTTCTTGGCATTCAAGCCATTGAAACCCCCACAACAGTGTTTTAGAACTCCTTCACTACCAAGTCGAAATGTGATAACAAGAAAGACCGAGGAGGAGCGCTTAAAGGTAGTTCATGAAGGGTGATAGGTTGGAAGGGGCAAGCAAGATTTTTGCCACCACCCAAAAAGCCTTTTCCCCATGTCCAAGATAATTGCCAGTCATTTGAACTCGTGTCTAAGACCTCCGAACAAGCTAGTGATGACAACCACCCCGTGAACTCTAACCTTTAGAGGTTGACGTCGTGGTGAAGAGATGATAGGGCCAAGTGTTGATGATTGTGCACATTCTTTGCACCAAAATGGTCCCGGTGAGAACCATTGTTGCCCATTTGTTCGTTCCTTGGACTTGAATGTCATGCATGGTTAGTTGTGGTTTATAAGTGATTTTGTTGAGACTTGCATTGATTCATGAACAAGGTGAACTTTTCGTTTGCCCATTTTTGGTGACCTCGAATGGCGTTTGTGGTGGATGTCGGTATTGCTTGCAACGGTCCATGAGTTAATTTCCAATAGCCATTGAGATTTGCCATTTTGTGCCCTTTGATTTGTCCCTAAAGCATTTTTTATAGTTTGAGAGATTACCTTGTGTGAAATGGTTTGCTTAGGGACAAGCAAACGTCTAAGTGTGAAGGAGTCATTTGGGCCTAATTGTACACTTTTTACCCCCGATTATCTTTGACGTTTGTTGCAATTGAACTCCAAAAAGGTTTGTTTTACGCAAGGTTGCTTCTGTTTTAGTGTGTTTCAGATCCTAACAGGTAAAACAAACCTGGACTCGAAAGTTGGAAGAAAAGGAGCAAAGACCAGGCAAAGAGGTGGAGATAGCCGCAACTCACGGCCAGACATTGGAGTTCACGGTATTACTGGACCATGAACTAGAGCCATAACCCGTAAAGCGAGGAGCAAACAGAGGGGGTTTTCAAGTTACTGGCTCCCAAGCAGTTCACGGTCGCTAAGACTGTGAACGGGGGCCACTGACCATGAACCCAAACAATTGATGTGGTGTGTTTTGTCGCGGCACTGAGTTCACGAATGTGTTTGAATGTTCACGGCCATGAACTAAGGTCGTGAACTCAGTGCGATCTCCCACTTAAGAGGAAATCTACAGGAAAGAAGAAAGGGGAGAGACCTAGAGTGAGAAAACTTCTCCTTCTTCAAATTTTAGAGTGAGAAAGTGACAAACCAAAGAAGAGGAACAACTAGGGTTTGATCTCCAAGCACGGATTTGGGGTTTTCTTCAGCACAAGGAGCAAAGCTTTCCTCTTCATGATGGTTTTCGTTCCCTCTTTTGTGTTTTCCCTTCTTCTAGCATGGAGTAGTCCCTTATTTCACTTGAGTGTTTGTAAACCCTAGCTACAATTATGTGAATGCTTTCATGAATTGAATGATTTGTGTGTGGATGTGTTTTAATGTGAATGTGGATGTATTATTCAAAAATGATTTTGTTGTGTGAAAGCCTATCAATCTAATTGCCATTCTAACCTAGTTTAGAGAGAACCCTCCTTAACTTAAGAGGCTCTTCTAGAGATGGGTTTCCTAGGGAATTTTATGCCTCCTAGTCTAGGTTAGTTAAAGGGCAAACCTCCTAATTTGTATTAAACACTTAGGGTTTGGTTGTGGGTGGCCATCCGAACTCCAATTCGAGGGTGAAGTCTAACCATTCTTTAGTCGATAGGTTGAGCGGGTCACATTAGTGGATTGGATCATATCCCATTCCTCAACCTAGAGGCTAAGAGGGTAACTTTGGTTGCTTGTTAGACTTACCTGCGATTTATGACCCCCTAACCACACACGGTTGTTAGATTCTTCGAGTCATAATTGTTAGCCAGGGAGAGCAACACCGGGGTGAAGCTTTCTCAACTAGAGTCAAATCCATTTCACCTTTGCAAAGTAATTTATTTTTCAACCTTTGTTTTCTCCAAAACCGATCTGCTAGATAATGTTTCAAACAGTCGAAGTAGCGGTACATGGACCCTATATTGCACCCATCTAAGGTTTATACTTGGACCTTAGGTGGGATTTTATTGTGATAGTTAGAGCAAGTCGCAAATTGAAATAAGTAGAATTGGCATTCTAATGAATGAAAACTATAGTTATTATATATTTATGTTTACAATATCTAATATTCTACTAAAATGCGGCCCAGTGCTCTACTACATCCTGGATCCGCTGCTAATTTCATCCATACCCACTAAATATCCTTCGGATTCATATTTTCCCTACCCGATTATGTCAGGTTCGGGCGGATATCCACGGTTCCGGATATTTTTTCCATCCCAACATCTAAGAGACTAAAACAAAAGTAGAAAGACTCAACTCGAAACCTCCACGTTACAGACCCAATTACAACGTATTGATTCGCAGATCAATGGACCTAGAGCGCAGAATCCTCCCTATCAAGTATCAAGGAAAAAGCCCAAAGGCCATACTCTCAGCCATCGTTACAATAAGCCCAAAGTATAATTGACATGCTTGCATTTGTTTTTGCTTTTATTGTTACTGCAGTTCATTACTCCAATTCTATGGTTGAATTCCAACTTCCTAATGTTTTATGATATCTCTTTCTTCTTGTCCATCAATCTCTGAAGCTCAGCTTCTATATCATCTTCCTATTCTATTATCCTCGACAATTCCATGTCCAGTAATCTCAGATTTAGTTATCCTATAACCAACATTACATCCACCTTCTTCTTTTCCACCTGCAATCACAGCTGCTTCTGCTTCTGCTTTGGTATTCTTTATACTCCTCACCATCGCAGAAACACTATGTTCCATCTCTGCTACCCATGCAAGCACATTCTCTGGGACTTTCATTCCCTTGTCGTGCAAACCTGAAAGCCTTCAATCAAAGCGAGAATTTCTTTCTCTATGTTCCCGATCTTATTGGCTTCGTCGCAATCTTGTGATGAAAAGCTCAGTTGATTCTCTAAGGGGTGGGTAGGCTGATCTTGTTCTGTTGCACCATCACTCGTTCTGGTTCTCTTACGAAGTGAACATTTTTCATTTTCCTACGATTCACTAATATTGCTCCCAGCATCCAAATCCTTGTCAGGAGATGAATGTTCTTCCTCTGTACCAGTAATGGAACTGATCTTCCTCTAATGCTTTTGATGATAATGTGCTAACCAGGTTTTGCAGATTTTCTCCTTTTTATCAAAATCAGTTAGGTCATGAAACCTATCAAAAATAGAAGTAATCAAAATCTCAATTACTGGTAATGAGATGATGTGGCAAAAAAGCTTGAGCAAGGTTTTTTAAGTTCAAGTTTTCACCTGCAACATTGGTGGCAAAATCGCTGCAGAATATTGCCTACTAATGCTTTATCGGTGTTGCTATGAACCTCACAAATCTTGTGTTGCTGGTGATAAGGATCTTTGCTGCTAAGATCAACTTCACAATATTCCACTTGACAAAAAATAAGCTTAGGATTGGGAGAAAGTGGCTTCTCTTAACTCTTTGCATCTTCATGATCATCATCTTTACATAATTGTTGTTGATCTTCCATATGTGGAGCTGCCAAAATCTTACTAACCTCCGATCTTGAACTGCTATCTTCTGTGTGGTTTATGGACACGGTGTTGTAATCTTGGGAAGTAAATGAGGAAGCATGGGAAGAATATGTATAAGGAGGAATTGACAGTGCAATCCTGAGCTTTGAAAGTATAAAAATAATCAAAATAATCATCATAGAATCATCATCCTCCGATTATACAGTCCTCTCATCCCTATTTTCCTGTAAATTAAAAGATACATCTTGCAAAGCCAAAATCACCACCAGAATCCTCTTGCACAGCTGTGATTGGTTGTTGTTCAAGAAAAGTATCTTCAGTAGCTGCCGATTAATAGCAAAAAGAAACAATAATTAGGTTACTATAATTCTCAACCGCAATTGACTTCAATCAACTTACACTTGCTTAGTGGAATGTTCGTGTTGTTGTTGGGTACATTCTTCTCTTGTGTGAATCCTAAATAAAGCACGAATGTAAGCATGGATGGAGATTGTGTTAATGAGGGAACG